GTGCATCTATAGTCCTAGCTACTCGGGAGGCTAAGAAGGGAGGGAGGATCACTTGAGCCCAGGAGTTCGAGGCTGCAGTAAGCTATGACGATGCCATTGTACTCCAGCCTATGCAACAGAGCTAGATCCTGACTCTAAAATTTTTTTCAGTTAAAAATTATTATTTGATTAAAGTCATAAGTTGAAAAAAATAGAAGCCCAGTCTAACTCTTCTTTAGAAGCTTTGATATGCAACTGACAAGTCTTGCCATTCTTTGAAAAGAAGTCTAGCCAATTCCAGCAGTGACATTTAGGTGCCTTTGAAGAGTGTTTGGCTCCATTTACAAACTTAATTAAACACTTTAAAACATTTTAAACTGCATTTTAAAATTTAATACATTCGATTACTTTTTTAAGTACCTCAATGATCTGATTTAACAAAAAACCTTCCTGAGTTTGCATAAATCTAATAAATTAAACTTAGAAATATAGTAAGCTTTAAGTTCTCATGACAGTTCCAATGCCATAAACATAAACTTTTAACTTAAAATCATGTTTAAATCAATTATTCAATTATACATTTTAAATTAGAATCACAAGCCCAAATTCTATTAATATTGAGAATACTTGAAATATCAAGCGTGCAGATTTTTTAAACTAAAAATATTACTGTTACAGTTTCATTTTTCTTAAATATTTTTATTCTTATTTCTAAATCTTCTGGGGTTAAAAATACTCGTTCCTAACAATACAATTATTTTCTCAGTTAAACGAGGTTGCTTCTTGAGTAGAGATTTGGGCTGGTGAGCCACCCTGAGGGGGCACGCAGGATCCCTATTTCCAGCTGTTTACATGGACATAAGAGGAGAGGCCAGTCTTATAATGAAGCCAAGCTGCCCTCCTCCTTAATTAGACCTTGCATTTCTTGGACTCTTAGGAGACAAATGTTTTTTTTCATGTATCTCTAAAGACCTCTGAACTTGACATCTTACATTCTTATCATCTTTCTACTTCTAGCGTGCTGATGATTGTTGCAGATCTTGAAATTATATCTGGTTGAGTTCTGTAAATCTCAAGGCTCCGTCTGGCCTTGTCACATAGCTTCAAAGCTACACTTCTGACATTTTCCCAGGCCCACAGGCCCAGTGTGAGCTCTCCCTTCTGTATTCCTCTAAGTCATCCATCCCTCTATTAGCTAACCTCCAGCCACATGATTTTTCTTTACATTCCTCAAATTGCCCGAGCTCATTCTGGCCCCAGGGCCTTTGCACTAGCTGTACCCCGAACCTGGAGGGCTTTGGACTTCATCCTCTCATAGGTGGCATCCTCCCAGGATCCGGTGTCCTCCAGCCCTCAGGTCCAATGTCACACGGGTGCCTTCTTCAAACGAGTACTTTTACTCCATGTTTCCCCCTTGCCCAGCACATAAATCACATTCTGTATCCTATTGCAATACTCTGTTTTATTGTCTTTATTTTTAATTTTTTTTTCTTGTTTATTATCTGACATCCCCAGTGGTATGTGAGTTCCTTGAATTAAGGACCATTATTGGCCTATTTCATCACCACAAATAACAGTAACCAAAATCTTGTGAATCAACAAATGAATTGGTTAAATAAATGAATAAAAAAATGGCTCTTCACTGGTCACTGGTTATTCTCCTTTTCAGACCTGTGTTCCTGAATGCACTTATCCCCTCAAAGTGGAGAGCTGTTCCAAAGACTGGCCCAGCGAGGGGAGATCACATTTAAAGGCTATCAGATGAGATGCAGAGACGACACCCCCTTGTTCTTGACAGCCTGAACTTGAACATACAAAGTGGGCAGACGGTCGGGATTGTTGGAAGACCAGGTTCTAGAGAGGACAAGCTCTGCTTTTATTTCTTTCAGGTTGTTTTCTTTGCATTTCCACTGGATGTCCTAGTTAAGCCACACCAGAGAGTGATGTGTATGTGTATCAGATTGTCTGTTATTTCCCTCAAATCTCTTTACTGTAAATTAGAATTTCAGGTTGAATGGGTGTGTAGAGATGGAAGCAAACACATCAGGTTTTGAATTAATTAAATGACAATCATTCTAATACAACAGGGCCCCAGAGATGAGTTGTGTGCTAAGGGCCCCTGCAGGGATGGGCAGGTTAACTGTCGGGTCAGCCCATCCCTCCACCCCACCCCGGTGAGGACACTTTCTGTCCACACCATCATCCTTATGGAGCCATTTGCATCTCATTAAAAATCCCACTAATTAAATGCTTGGATATGATGGAAGCACAAACTGATGTTTGATTTGTTCTTCTTGCTTTTATGGTTCCCAGGGAAGTCATCGTTAGGAATGGCCTTGTTTCGTCTGGTGGAGCCAGCCAGTGGCACAATCTTCATTGATGAGGTGGGTATCTGTACTGTCTGTGGAGGACCTCAGAACCAAGCTGACTGTGACCCCACAGGATCCTGTCGTGTTTTTAGGCACCGCAAGGTAGCTGTTTTTGATCCTTGTGCATTCCTATTTTTGGAGAGTGAAATCAGACTGACCAAGAACTTTGTGATGTCCACAGGGCATGCCTGGCCTGGAGCTGTTCTATCTGAGGGAAGCAGCATCTCAGAGGGCTCACAAGCACTGCTGGTTCCTGTTTCTGCATCCACCCTTGGGAGGAGTCAGGGCCCAGGGCTCTGAGCATTACTTGTGTTTTATAAACACATTATTAATGAACAAGATGCTTCTATACTCATTCATACACTGAGCAGATATTCCGGTGGCTCTGGACAGACCGAGTTTATGCCTGTGTCCAAGCATCCCATTAGGCTTAGCAATGGGCATTCTGAAAAGTCTCCCAGTTTGCACAATAAAATAAATAGTTACCCATGTATATGACTATCCATTGTGAAGTGCATCCATTTATTTCCGCAACTAAGTGAACAGAAGCTATTTCAAGCACAAGAACAGTAGGGCCGCAACTTCCGTGGGGCTCCAGATCTGATATCAAGGCACAAGGGAAAAGCCAGTTTTCTGTTAGCTAGTGCAGTGGAGGGTAATGAGAGGGACGTTTCTCCCATAGAGCACCAGATGAAGTAGGAGAACTGTATTTACTGTATTTAGAGTTCATTGTTTGAAAAATGCATTCTGCCTCTTGAAACAGTAGATTTACATTCTACATTTGAGCTGCTCAGCACCCTGTGAGGCCCTGGAGTTGCCGATGCCTGGGGTGACAGATTTGGGTTGCTAACTCTCCTTCTCTCTCTGCCAAGAATTGATATCAGTTCAAACCCACTCTGCTACTCAGGGCTGCTGAGAGGCCCAGGTGTGTCTTTCTGAGCACATTGCTCAGTGCTGCCTTTCGGCAGGGTTCCACCTGTCATTGCCTGCCTTCGTGGTCTCTGCTCTATTGCAGAGTTGTGGGCCCCTGGTCTTGTGGCCTGAGATCCATATTTTATGGACTATTGTCCTGGACTGAGCACTATTCTTAGAGCACGGGTTATCACATGCCGCCTCCTACCCTCCTCCATGTGCTGCAGAAAATCTGCTCCCCACCCATCCCCTCGTCCTTGGAAATCTGGCTCCCTCTCCTCTCCTCTCCTTCATTGCAGGTCCAACTTGGATCCCTTTGAGAGTCACACCGAGATGCTCTGGCAGGTTCTGGAAAGATTGTTCATGAGAGACACAGCAGGTCTCTGGGGCTGTTGAGAAGGAGTTTGTTTCCCAGAACCACTGCCCTAGATTCCTGGCCTAGGTTTAAATTTGACAAGCACCGAGGCCAGCACTTGGCTGGGTTTATGTGTGGATACCATAGAAGTCAGTAGAACATAATCCTTAGTTACTCTTTCCTATTTTTTTTAAAAGAGAGAGAAAAAGAAAGAGGAAGAAAAAAAGAAAGAAAGAAAAGAATGAAAGAGAGAAAGAAAGAGGAAGAGAAAGAGGGAGAGAGAACAGGAGTCTTGCTTTATTGCCCAGGTTAGAATGCAGTCTAAAAATGGGTATTGAAAACCTCTTTTATGCCAATAATTGTGCTTAACAATGGAGACAGGAAGGAATAAGGGAGGAAAATAACAAACAAGCAGCCAACCAATATTTCATTTAAACTTGTGAAATGCTATGCAATTACTGAGGAGTGATTTACTTCCAATTATGTAGTCACTTTTAGAGTAGGTGTGATGTGGTACTGAGAAGAATGTATGTTTTGTGGATTTGGGATGGAGAGTTCTGTAAATGTTTATTAAGTTTACTTGTTCCGGGTCTGAGTTCAAGTCCTGGATATCCTTATTAATTTTCTGTCTTGTTGATCTGTCTAATATTGACAATGTGATGTTAAAGTCTCCCACTATTGTCGTGTGGGAGTCTAAGTCTCTTTATAAGTCATTAAGAACTTGCCTTAACTCTTTCCTATTAAAAGCAAAAATAGGGCTCTACAATGATCCAGTCAAGAGGGCTACACGTATTATCTCACTTAATCCTTCTACAGTGCTCTGAGGTTGGTACTCACTCTCACCTCTAATTTTAGAGATGAAGAAATTAAAGCTTAGAGAAGTAACATGCCCAGGCTAGTGAGCAGCAGGATGGAGACTTGAACTCAAGCCTGTCTGATTCTAGAGCAGATGGAAGGCCCTGCTCTTTTGCCAATGGCCTCCTTTGCTTATCAGAGCAGACAAGCCACAGAAAACGGGAGGGTGTGAAATATTCTGGGAATGGCAAGTATGGCTGGTTGGAGAGGACTGAATCACCTGTGAGAGGGGGCCCTGTCCTAGGAGAGCTACAGCCCCAGCTGGGGTCAGCAGGTGAACACGGCCACCTCTGCAGCCCAAAGGGATACTTTTCCAGGACTTGGTCCCAATATGAGCATCTTCCAAGGCTACTTTGGCTTGTTGCTCTGGATAAGTCTTACCCTTCCTTAATGTCCAGAAAACTTTACAACCCATCTCTATTTTGTTCATGGAAATGGCAATCCAGGAACCCATTTCCACTTGTTTTTGTGCTCTCTGGAACTGCATGTGCATCATTTGTTCTTTTGGTGAATTGTCTATGGGGTTCTATGAGTCATACTGTGATTTTAAATTATTAATGTCCGCCTACTCCCTGGTCTTTCCCTGGTGCCTGTTTGCAATATTGAAATGATTGTTGTTTTGCACTTTCTTTGCCACACTAAAATAAAGCAAGCAGATGAATGCAAGAGAAGGGGGCAATCAATACAGGCAGCATAGGACAATTTTATAGATCACCAGTACAAATGTGGCATTTTCTGAGTTTTGTAGATAATGAAACTCCCAGAAAAATGATAGGCAGAAGTCGCAGAAAATGGAGAAAACTTCTCAGTAGGGGAATGTCAGCTGCTTTGTGTGGCCTGAGCTCTTCTTCGTAATTCACAGGTAAGAAAACACGGGAAATGGATTAGTCAAATTTTGGATACTTCCTGCAGCGCCACTCAATCCAGGAAGTAGTGCCATGTGTTTGCCTTTCAGCAAAGAGAGAACAATTGAGCCATTTAAAAACCGATCACTTTTTCTTAAGACAAATTGTTAGAGGTTAAAAATTGAAAAGTAACAGCCATTTACAGCAAGAGCACCCTCCTCTCCCGGGCTTCCCCTGGGGAGGTCTCGACTAGGTTTTCACTCTGCTCGCCTAAGTGGTTTGAGTTTGAAAAATCTGTCTCTTAACTTTCTCTCATTGTCTCTGAACAATACTGAATCTCCATACGCTGTCCACAGGATGCTCAAGAGGGCCATCAGAATGCTAGGATACGGAAACTGTAGAATTTACACATATTGTTCTTTGTGACTTAGCCACCTTTACTTGCTGATTGCGGGGAAGGGATTGCTGTTGCTCTAGTAATTCCATTCTCTGAAGCCTCATCAAAGGTGTGACCCATTGTGTGTATTCTCTAGATGTGCTAATGTTAAGGGAGAGGGACCGGCATGGATCCAATGCCTGCCGTCGCACTGCACGCTGCTAAGTGGTTAAAGTGTCATCTCCATTTCCAGCTGATCAATAAGGCATAGCCCCCTTTCACCTCTGAGGGAACAGAGCCTTGGGGAAATTAAGTAACTTAGCTGGTCAAGCAGAGTCAGGGTTAAGTTCAAATGCTCTGATTTGCTAAATCAAATCTGCCCCAAAGATGTTAATGTCCTGATTTTTGGAACCTGTGAATATGTTCCTCCGAGCCTTTTAATATATTAACTTACTATCATGAGATAGGATCATGAGATCGGGAGATGATTCTAGATCTGGGTGGACCTAGCGTATTCACATGGGTCTTTCCCAGGAGGAAGCAGAAGAGTCAAAGACGGAGAAGGAGCTGTGATCCCAGGAGGGGCTGTGGGCCAAGGAATGCAAGTGGTTCGAAAGAATGCAGCCCCGACAATACCTTGATATTAGGATTTCTGACTTCTGGAACTAGAAGATAAATTTAGGTTGCATCTCTAAGTTTGTGATCATTTGGTATGACAGCAACATAGGGAATGAATATAAGTGCTGTTGTACTTCATGCCAACTCAGGTTAGCACAGTAGATAAAGCCTGTGCAGTGTCTCCCTACAGTTTGTAGGGTTAGAATAAACCACTTAAAAAGAGGAGTAAAGGATATACGACCTTTTCCCTCTAGAATTTCCTCTGGGAAGTTCCTCTGGGAAGATGGAAGTGATGTGATGTGACTTTTATTTCACTCTTCATTTTCTCATTTTTTTTGAGATGGATGTTTAGCTAATTACTTTTCATTTTGTGGTCTTCTTTTTCTTCTTCTTTTCTTAAAAAATAAACAGAGCCAAGGCTATAAATTTCCCTCTCAGTGTGCCTTTGGCTTAGTGTGACCTATACAATGTTCCCTCCTTGACAGATCATTCTCCTTGATGAAGACGCCACCGCCTCCATGGACTCCAAGACTGACGCCCTGGTTCAGAACACCATCAAAGATGCCTTCAAAGCCTGCAAAGTGCTGACCATCACCCACTGCCTCAACTTGGTTCTCAACTGCAATCACATCCTGGAAGATGGGAAGGTACAGGAAGCCCTTTTGGCTTCACCTCCCCGGAAAGTTCAGTGGTTCGAGCTTTACAGTGGGTAGATATTTTCCAATGATTTCAGTTCTTCTTCTCTTACTGTTAGGTGATTGAGTTTGACAAGCCTAAAATCCTTACAGAGAAGCCAGATTCTGCATTTGCGATGTTACTAGCAGCAGAAGATATTGCAGGAGTTCTGGCGGCAGATTCTAGAGGAGGAAGAGGCTCTGTGAGATGAGTAGGAGGGGTCTTCAGGAGGAGGGGCTGTTCCCTCCGAAGCCCTGGTCTCCAGCCCCTCCCACCCATGGAGTGAGCTGGGGCCAAAGTTGTCCCCACTGCCCTACTCAGCCCGTGCCACCTCGCCCCACTTGGTGAGCTTGGGGTTGGTTCTGGGTGGTGAACCGAGGCAGACAAAGCTAATGAATTAACAAACTGCCCTTAACCTCCCTGAACCAAAGCCACCCCAGTGCCTGAGAATGAAAATATTGTAACTTTCAATTAGAAGCCAGTCACAATAAACAGAATGGGAAAATGTCTTAAGATGGAGTTTGTAAAGGTTTTTTTTTGCCTATTATCAGAAGGAAAAAAAGCAGAATTTTCTTCCCGTTTAACCCCACTCAGTTCCATCTCGACTGGGTGACAAGCAGCTAACTACACAGATCTGTAGTGTAAAAGACTGATTACAATGTTTGGCCAAAAAAATTTTTTAAAATCATATTATATGTTTCAATTGATCTATTAGAATAATCAGGAAAACAAAATGCTGGAGTTTCTCTATAAATGACATTTTTATATCTTCTTTATTGGTCATTGAAATGCAGTAGGAAATTACCCCGAAGTGTTGCCTTGCAATGATTTCACTGAAGATATTCTGATTTCGGTACTATTTCCTCTCCTCGTTGCCTTCTCCCTTGACTCAGTAATGAACCCTCACAGTTGCTTACCAAATAAAAGGCTTTTTCTCTAACCTCAAGGCTGGTTCTGATGGAAGCAGTAAAGACGTATTCCTAGCAGCCCCAGGAGTGAGCGCTGCTAATTCATGATGACATTTGAGAAAAAAATATATAGACTATCCGGCAAGCTCTTGCGCAGCAGTCACCAGGGGACATGCCGGCAGTTGTGGCTGTTTCTCATTCGTCAGGAATGAAGGCCTCATGGGGTTCCCTGGGCCTGCTTTTGAGGCCCCAGGCTAAGCTCTAAGTACAGCTCAGGGCAGTGTGGTCAGCAAAGCTTCCAGATGACCCCCTCCACCCCACTCCCTTTCTGAGTGTTGGTCACATACTTGCCCCCCAGATGTGGAGGAAGCAGTGCCTGGCACCTGGGAGCACTCAGGAAGCACTTGTGGCAGCTGTGAATGACAGCCTCTAATGAACTCACTCAAACACAGCCGTGGACCCTGATGGACACTCCCCCAGGTGTGTGTGCTCATTAAGAGTTTAATCTGGACTTCTGGCCAACAAGCCCACAGCCAGCAATTCAAGGGCTGGGCATGTGAGATTCACCTCCAACCGATTATTCTCCAGCCCTCCTCTGGCCAGGGCTGGGCAAGGGTCTACCCAACCAGTGGGGAAGCGAGCACACCTGACCTCAGGTAGAGCTTACAGGCTGCCAAGTGTGTGAAAGCCCTGGCCCAGCAGCTTGGCAGTGATGGATCCTGTCCTCAGCAGAGGGTGCACTAAGACACGTGGCTGAGAAGGATGTGAGCCAGGGGACTCTTTCCATGGGCAACCCCAGGCCAAGTGTGGATCTCACTGTGAAGGGACACAGTGTATCTTTGTCTGATCTCAGCTTTCCCCCATGGCATGTGACCCTGATCTAAGATCACATCCACAGGGTCCTGAGCAGCTGCTCCCAGCTGGGTGTAGGCGTCACCTTTATGGACATCCAATAACTTCCCCAATATGGCAAGCAGACTTGACAGTCTGTGCTGACTGTGGGAATCCATACTAGTTGTGCAATCCATACCAGCTGTCAGGGAGGGATGCTTTATTTTCTACCAACTTGACACCAGCCCCAGACAATCTGTCTGTGATTTCAAGAGGTGATGTTTCCATGAGGACAGCGGACAAGCTACAGTGATTCCTGCCACTCCTTCAGATGCCTTGAGAGACAAATCACCTCCTGCGACTCCTGTTCTGCCCACACTTGCTTTAGTTTACTCTGGCAAAAGAAGAACACTGACATTGATCCTGATGTTTACTGAGAACTTGCAGTGTGCCAGGCCCTGTGACAAGCGTTCTTTTTCATGGATTATTTCACTGAATCCTCACCTCACCCCGTAAGATGGGAATGGAGGCTCACTGAGTTTGTGACTTATCAACAGATGCCCAGGAAAGAAGAGACGGAGATAGGACTTGAACCCTAACCAATCTGACTCCACGGGCCCTGCTCCCAACCCCTTCACAACAGAGCCCCTCCTGTCCTTTCCCCTTGGCCTGTTGCAGGGACAGTGATGGTCGTCAGCATCACTCATGGGGTAGAGTGACTTCTGAGGGTTTGGCTGTTTGCATGTACAAGACACAACATCATCTCAGCAAACCCCGCTCCCACCCCAACCCCTTGCTGTCACTGGCATGTCAGCTAAGGGAAGACTATGTGGAATAACAGTAGCCCTTTAGCCAAATTCCTCGAAGCACAGACTTAGGTCATTAAATCCTCACCATATCCCTGTGGGGTAGGTACCTGTTATGATCTGAACATTTGTGTCCCCCTAAATCCACATGTGGAAACATAATCCTCAATGTGATAGCATTGTGGTAGGGCCTGTAGGAGGTGATTAATTAAGTGATGAGGGTGGAGCCCTTATGAATAGGATTGCTCTCATAAAAGAGGCTTGGGAAGCTTGTTCACCACTTCCTCCATGTGAGGAGACATAGGAGGCATTACCTATGGGGATTGGGCTCTCACCCTCCTAAAATCTCTCCCCTCCTAAACTCCATCTCTCTCTATTCCCTTCCACTCAGTGTGGAAGCTGCTTTCCTCTCCTGGATTCCATCTTTCTGGATTCTCTCACTCAGTGTGAGAGTTAGCTGTTTCTTTCTCCTCCTCCTGTTTCTCTCACTCTCTCTAAATAAATCACTTTCTACAAACACTTTTTAAAAAATTTATTTTATTGCATTTTAGGTTTTGGAGTACATGTGAAGAACATGCAAGATTGTTGCATAGGTACGCACATGGCAGTGTGATTTGCTGCCTTCCTCCCCATCACCTATATCTGGCATTTCTCCCCATGCTATTTTTCCCCAACTCCCCACCCACCACTGACCCTCCCCTATTTCCCCCCAACAGACCCAAGTGTGTAGTGCTCCCCTCCCTGTGTCCATGTGTTCTCATTGTTCAACACCCGCCTATGAGTGAGAACATGCGGTGTTTGATCTTCTGCTCTTGTGTCAGTTTGCCGAGAATGATAGTTTCCAGGTTCATCCATGTCCCTACAAAGGACACAAACTCATCATTTTTGATGGCTGCATAATATTTCATGGTGTACATGTGCCACATTTTTCCTGTCCAGTCTATCATCGATGGGCATTTGGGTTGCTTCCAGGTCTTTGCTATTGTAAACAGTGCTGCAATGAACATTCGTGTGCAAGTGTCCTTTTAATAGAATGATTTATAATCCTTTGGATATATACTCAGTAATGAGATTGCTGGGTCAAATGGAATTTCTATTTCTAGGTCCTTGAGGAATCGCCACACTGTCTTCCACAATGGTTGAACTATGTTACACCCCCACCAACAGTGTAAAAGTGTTCCTATTTCTCCACAACCTCTCCAGCATCTGTTGTCTCTAGATTTTTTAATGATCGCCATTCTAACTGGCGTGAGATGGTATCTCAATGTAGTTTTGATTTGCTTTTCTCTGATGACCAGTGATGATGAGCATTTTTTCATATGTTTGTTGGCCTCATGTATGTCTTCTTTTGTAAAGTATCTGTTCATATCCTTTGCCCACTTTTGAATGGGCTTGTTAGTTTTTTTCTTGTAAATCTGTTTTAGTTCTTTGTAAATTCTGGATATCAGCCCTTTGTCAGATGGGTAAACTGCAAAAATTTTTTCCCATTCTGTTGGTTGCCGATTCACTCTAATGACTGTTTCTTTTGCCGTGCAGAAGCTGTGAAGTTTGATTAGGTCCACTTTTGAGTCTGGCATTTACTGCGCACTGCGCCGTGGTCCCTTCTCTCATTCTTGAGAGGGCAGGAGACCAAGAACCTGGAGAAACGTTCTCTCAGGGGAGCTGAGGGCACCCTGAATCACTGAACCCCAATGGTGCACCTTGACTTCCCAGCCTCCAAAACTGTGAGCAATAAATTTCTGGTGTGTATAAATTACCAAGTCTGAGATATTTTGTTACATCAACCTGAATAGACTGACATAGTAAGAGCGTTATCCTTGTATTGAGAAAGCTGAGGCATTGAGAAAGTAACTTGACCAAGGTCAGCTACTAGTGAGATTTAAATCCAGGCAGGTTGACTCTAAAAAGTGTGCTCTTCCAGGAGTATGAGACCAGCCTGGGCTGTACAGTGAGACCTTATCACTACAGAAATAAATAAAATAAAAATAAAATATGTGCTGTTAAATTCCATGCAACACTGCTGGAAGGGCCATCCCAGTGAGAAAGATCAGTGCCTGGGTTGTAAAGCCTGAGGACTGGTCAGGGTGGACTCAGTTATGCTGCAGTAACAAAAGCCCCCAGACTTCACTGGCTTATTTCTTGCTCATGTGATACGTCCATCACAGGTGTGCTTATCCTCTTCACTCTGTGACCCAGCGGAACAGAGCAGTCTCTGCCAGGAACGTCACATTTTGTGGTAGAGGATAATCAGACATGGCAACCAGAAGTGATACATGCTGCTTTCACCCACATTTCATGAGCAAAACAAATTGCCTGGCCACTCCTGGGCTCTACAGTGTGGGTAGTGACGGTGGCATATGCCCTACTCCACAGGGAGGGGCACCACAAGGCACAAGGACCAAGCTTATTCTTGTAGGAGTTGTGTAAGCTTTCTCTTTGGAGGGTCAGCAAGTATCTTGAACAATACTACAACCTATTATAACCTGGATTGGGGTCTTGGTTCTACCACTGGGTGGCTGTGTGATATGGAGAAGGTAGCTTGCCTTCTCTGAGCCTTCATGCCATCTGTAAAATTTGGATAAAGTGCTAAGGTGTTTTTCAGTCTTGACTGTCAATATAGGAGAAACAAAAAAGGAGATATGAAAAACATGTCTATTGCTTTAACAGTGGAATTTAGGCATTCAACGGGGATTAGAGTGCCTTCTAAATATAATTAAATGTTTTTTGTTTGTTTGTTTGTTTTGAGATGTCACCCAGGCTAGAGTGCAATGGCACAATCTCAGCTCTCTGCAATCTCTGCCTCCCAGGTTCAAGAGACTCTTCTGCCTCAGCCTCCCAAGTAGCTGGGATTACAGGTGCCTGCCACCATGCCTGGCTAATTTTTTTATTTTTAGTTTCACTGTGTTGGCCAGGTTGGTCTCAAACTCCTGACCTCAAGTGATCTGCCTGCTTCAGCCTCCAAAAGTGCTGGGATTACAGGTGTGAGCCACTACACCTGGCCTTGAAATTTCTTTTTAATTTATTATTATTATACTTTAAGTTCTGGGGTACACATGAAGAACATGCAGGTTTGTTACATAGGTATACATGTGCCATGGTGGTTTGCTGCATCCATCACCCCGTCATCTACATTAGGTATTTCTCCTAATGCTAGCCCTCCCCTAGACCCCCAATCCCTGCCACCCCTCTCCTAGCCCTCCACCCCATGACAGGCTCTGGTGTGTGATGTTCCCCTCCCTGTGTCCATGTGTTCTCATTGTTCAACACCCACTTATGCGTGAGAACATGTGGTGTTTGGTTTTCTGTTCATGTGTTAGTTTGCTGAGAATGATGGTTTCCAGCTTCATCCATGTCTCTGCAAAGGACATGAACTCTTCCTTTTTTATGGCTGCATAGTATTCCATGGTGTATATGTTCTGTGTATTCTTTATCCAGTCTATCATTGATGGGCATTTGGGTTGGTTCCAAGTCTTTGCTATTGTGAACAGTGCCACAACGAACATATGTGTGCATGTGTCTTTATAATAGAATGCTTTATAATCCTTGGGTATATACCCAGAAATGCGATTGCTGGGTCAAGTGGAATTTCTGTTTCTAGATCCTTGAGAAATCGCCACACTATCTTCCACAATGGTTGAACTAATTTACACTCCCACCAACAGTGTAAAAGCATTCTTTTTTCTACACATCCTCTCCAGCATCTATGTCCTGATTTTTTAATGATCACCATTCTAACTGGCATGAGATGGTATCTCAGAGTGGTTTTGATTTGCATTTCTCTAATGACCAGCGATGA